CTAACCGGCTAACCCTATATCCTGACATTAATGGCCATAAATGAATGATAAACGGGTTTCGGATAGACACTTAACTTGAATTTGTAGACAGCGTGTTGACAATGGTACTTTTAGTTTCCATAACACTACGTCCAAGTAAATTTAACAGGAGCCGAATTTGCTCCCGTGTGAGCCTCTGGTCTCAATACAACAATGGCTGCCCTCCTTCCTCCACTCTGACGCCTGGCTTACATTGTCCAGATTTCAGAACGTGATAGAAGGGTCACATTTACTCTACTTTAATATTGATAATTAAGTTAATTTATATAAGATGTTTTTATGATGGTAAAGTCCAAAGACTAATGTATTTAAGAATAATTCCCAGCAAAATAGCTGGTGAATTATAATAGTATGTGGTGATGATATCCCGTTTTCTATAGACGGTAATTCCACTACAAGTTACGTTTTCTATGGGTAACTTGTGGGTAATACAGCTATTATCTGTATGATTATTAAATGGTGTCGGATTTTCCGACAAAACATACTTGAACTTAAACTCAACCCCCGCAAGCACAACTCGGAGCCGGCCGGCCCAGCGGACAGCACGCTGGGATCCTGTGGTCCCGGGTTCGATCCCGGGCGCCGGCGAGAAACGATGGACAGAGTTTCTTTCACCCTATGCCCTTGTTACCTAGCAGTAAATAGGTACCTGGGAGTTAGTCAGCTGAAACGCGCTGCTTCCTGGGGTGTGGAAAAAAAATTGTAGTAGTAGAAACAGTTGATTGACAGTTGAGAGGCGGGCCGAAAGAGTAGAGCTCAACCCCCGCAAACACAACTAGGTGAATACATGCACCTGGTATGGCCTCTTACCTTCACAACGTAGCACGCACCCACTGCACATATACACACATACACGTGAAAACCACTGAAATTTAATTCATGTTCAACTATTATATATGTTGTATATGTAACATATATGGTCACTAGTCTAAACTTAAATGATTATTAAAAGTGATTATTGTTTTTCGTCGTACGGCTGGCATAGGTGGGAGGCGGAAAGGATGTCGTGTTGGTTACTTGGAGTTACCAGAAGGGAATTTCCGTGAGGTGACTCAAGGCTACGTAGCCTCACCCTCTGGGGCCACCAGCCCATACAAGCACCTGTCATATACACCAACATTACGGGCTCACCATAGCCCGTGCTACATGAACATTTCGTTCTGAGTAGCTAAATCTAAAACAACAACATACACCAACACACCATGCTTTATACATTTGGTTCCATCAATTAAATACCTCTAATGCAAGCAGAAAGAAAAACAAGGCAATGAAACAAAACTGACTTGAATAAATACTATTCAGTTTACTCAAATTATTGTACATAAGTTAAAATAAAAAAAAGACAGGTTTCAACTGCTCAGCTGTATGAAATTTCTTGTTCAATTCCTAAGCCAATTATGTCTGAAACCTTTTCCACTACCGCCCAAAGAATAGATATGAAGTGCATGATAAATGAACTCAATTCAATAAACTGAAACTGTTAGATTGATGACGTTCATTAAGGGTTCTAATTCAATGTGTTATATCAGTATTAGGACGGGTCGATGCAGTCTTTATTAGTATAATAAATAATATTTATAAAGTTACATAGGATCAGATTATATAGTGGTTACAGTATTCGAATACTGTATTATATAGAGCCACTAATTGCACGCAGTATTTCGGACATTTGTATTATGCCTATCTTTGGATTTATTACTCAAATAATAGCTACATTAGCCCAGGTTTTAGTTACATATTGATAAAATCATGTTTGAGGAGAGCGATTACATTTTCCATGATAAAAACTTGTTAATATTCGGATGTATTTGTCAGAACTGTCAATACATATGCTTAATAGTAATATATCTATTACTATTAAGCATATGTATATGAGTAATATATATATATTACTCATAGCACGCACCATAGCCCGTGCTACTTTGAACTTTTTGTTCCAAGTGGCGAACCTTAAACAACAACTAATGCTTGAGTGATATATCTATTACTATTGAGCATATGTATGAGTAATATATCTATTACTTGAGATACTTGAGTAATATATCTAGTACTCAAGTATCTTAATTGTGTGTATACTCAGGAGAACGCCAGTAGGTCTATACGACAAATATATTATTATTTGAAATTTGAGGATAGAATGGCATTAATAACATGGATTAGATAAGAAAATATAATGAATATTACCATACGTAACATTATTGGTTCTACGCCATAATGTCAGAAATGGATGTTAAACAAAATAATAAAAGATCTATAGTTAAATAAACGTACGAAAATGGTTATATAATATACTGAAGTAAAATAATATGAAATGTACGGACGTTGGTACATACCAAGAACAGTACAATATTGAAGTCAGCTAATGTATTACTATACCGGAAAACGATTCGGTACTCATGGTGGTGGAAGTTGGGTACGAGTTGGTACTCAACATTGCACAAGGGTGCCGGGGGGGGGGGGT